GCCGGGGCCCCCCCCCCCCCCCCCCCACTTCTGAGTCAGAATTAACAATTACTATGGAACAATACACTACAAAATACTGCCACAAATGCGTCTGCAAGATGTGTTGCTTCGCTCTCACAAAAAGTTATTTTCCTCGTAAATTCATTCAAGCCCACATTGCAAAAATTAGTACATCCCATTTAAAGCCTTGGGAGAAAAGCCAAACTTAAGACTCCACAAGTCTAATTACTATATTTCCTCGACTATAAGTCGCACTTTTTTTTTCCATCCTTTAACTGGGTTTGCAACTTGTACTCAGGTGCAACTTGAATATTTAAATATATAATTTACGTTTACGTCAAGTAATGCCCTTTTATATGTCACATATAAAAGGGCATTACTTGACAAAGAAAGCCCCTTCCCATTGCATGCTGTCAGCAAGAGAAATGTTGCCATCACTACATTATGTATATAATATTATTATCATATCAGACAGACCTATTCACTCACTATATATGCATTACCATATTTATATTTTTATTTTAGTAATATATACCATTTATTAGATTTTAACAATCACAAATAAATGAGGATGGATAATAGGGATGTGAATCTTTGGGTGTTTCACGATTCGATTCCAATTCTTTGGGTCACGATTCGATTCAAAATCGATTCCCGAGTCAAACAATTCCCGATAAAAAAACGGGTACACTGCATAGTCCATGAAGCACATTACAGTATCTTGTACAGTTTGTATAAGTATGCACTGTTACATAAAGTAAAAATACATACCAAAAAAAATTGCATTAAATAAAAATTTAGTCCAGCTGCCCTTTTCTCCCAGAAAGCTACAAAAATAAAATTGTACACAAATAACAAAATGTTTTGTGTGATTTTTTTTTCAAAGTATACATTTTTTTTATTAAGTCTCAATTCCTAGTGAGTACAAGAGTAGGTTCAACATTTACAAAAAAATAAGCTTACCTCAATAAATAAAATAAAATAAAATAAATAAAAGCTCAGGCTAGCTGCCTTTTTCTTCCACTCGTAAAGGTGCCCATTTCAAAATAAACAACAACGAACCTGGTTTTTTTCTTTTTCAAAAATAACATAGTTATTTTATGTAATATATAAATCACATAACAAGGGTGGTCACGTCTTGGACTTGGTGAGTAGGATTACAGCCCATAATTGTCCATGCAATGGAGCGATCACTGACAGTGTGCGTGGAGTCTTTCACAGGTTTGAGTGCTTTATCTATTTCCTCAAGCTTTTGAAACGTCCGTTTCGCTGAGCGATGTCACTTTGAGCTACCACATTTCTCACCTCTGGAGAGGGGACAGCGGCACAAATAGCTGCCTGTTGCTCCAAAAATCGTTCGATCAGTTCGATCGCGCTATTCCAGCGCGCTGGGACGTCCGTTTTTACCGGCGAGTTTGTGTAGCATGAGTAGCGATGCTCCTGCGGTGGAAGAATCAGGTGATTCGTCTAATGCTCCTCCATAAGCTCCTGTACATAGCGAGGTGTGTGCCGGTAGTTCATACGGAAATCCGCGAGGGTGCGCAAAGGGACGAAGCGAACGTTCATACATAATCGATATTTTTAAGTTTAAGAATCGTAGATCATTAGAATCGCAATTCTTACGTGAATCGATTCCCCCCCCACCCCTAATGAATAATGTAATTGTTGCCGTCGGCACAACGGTAGTATCTAATAATATTTAATTATTTTTATGTGTAATCCTGTCATATACATGCATTTTTATTTTGATCAAAGTGTTCGGACCATACATTCTGCAATTGTTTTTTTTTTTCTCTTATAAGAAAAAAAAATCAATTGCAGAAAGATGTATTAGTCTGTTATAGAGTAGTTACATCTTTACCAGCGGTCCCTGATCTTTTTTGTTCCAAGGACTGGTCAGCCAGTATCACCCGTTACTACAGACCGGTAGCAAAGTGCTGAGCATTAAAGGTTCATTCTTCTTTTTCTTTTGGCTTTGTCCCTTTTTTCAGGGGTTGCCACAGCGAATCATTGATTTCCATCTCTCCCTGTTCTCTGCATCTTCTACTCTGACTCCAACTATCTGCATGTCCTCCCTCACTGCATCCATATATCTCCTCTTTGGCCTTCCTCTTTGTCTCCTACCTGGTAGCTCCATCTCTAACATTCTTCTACCAAT